GGCAGACCAATGACTTACAAAGCAAGTATGGAGCTCAAAAGACAAAAGTAGTAAAATCAATTATACATTAGTCAAAGGATCTACAAAAAATATATATATGTAAATTATGACATCATATACATAAAATATACATATATATGTAAATTATGACATCATATACATAAAATGTGGAGAGGGGAATAATAGTGCTGTTAGCATGTGTTGAAACTTAAGTGATCATCAACCTAATGCAGACTGTCATATACCTAGGAGACTATATATGAACCTTATGGTAACCACAAACCTAAAGCCTATAACAGATACACAAAAAAAGGAAAGAGAAAGGAATCCAACCATAACACTAAAGAAAACCATCAAATCACAAGGGAAGAGAACAAGAGAAGAAAGAAATGGAGAACTACAAAAACATACAGAAAGGAGTTAACAAACTGGCAGCAGTCCATACCTTTCAATAATTACTTTCAATGTAAGGGACTAAATGTTCCAATCAAAAGACACAGGTGGCTGATTGGATAAAGATGCAAGACTATGTATGTGTGGCCTACAGGAGACTCAATTCAGACCTAAAGATACCTATAGACAGAAAGTGAAAGGATAGGAAAGGATACTCCAAGTAGAGGCAAAAAAAAAAGAGGACAGGAGTAGCAGTACTTACATCAGACAAAACAGACTTCAAAATAAATAGATTTGACGAAGGGCACTACACAATACTAAAGGGATCAGGCCAATAAGAGGATATAACAACTGTAAATATCTATGCACCCAACAACACAGGAACACCTAAATATATAAAGAAAATAATAACAGACCTAAAGAGAAAAACTGACTCCCACATTCTGTGAGAAGGAATCATATAACCACCCTTGTCCTTTGTTTTGGGGCCAACTGATTTTGTTTCCTTCAGTGCCCTGTTGTTTTGGGTGTTATTGTACTTTTGTTTTACTGTTAATAAGGCCTGGTCTCAATACTCCCTGAGGTGTGGGTAACAGTGGCCAGTAATGTATCCCTGAATTTTGGTACTCTTTTCCAGCTGGAATTATTTTGTAAAGAGAGGAAAATGTGATGGAATACCTTATGCTCAGTCCTGTGGAAAAGATGTCAGATCCTGCTTTAGAAGGAAGGCCTTTGCCTTCTTGTAGTTTTTGAGTGTGTTGTGTCTTTTGTGTCATTTGTAAATATGCATATGAGATGAGGCCTGTTGCTACAGAACATCTTGTAAGTCAGAGCCACAAAGCTGGCAGGTATAGGTCAAGCAGTTAAAGACTGTTAGAGCACTCACCATCTCAAGATGACTCCAATAATAGGATAAGTAGGTCACGGAACAGGTCAGAATGACACTAGGTCACCCACCAACCGCAAGAAAATTTCTGTGCAATTAGGCACGTTGTTAACACCACAGTCCCCAAGCCTGTGGCAACTCCGTCCTAGGTATTAGTTTGGCTTCCAAGAAAACCCAAGGCTTAGCTAAAGCTGTTAATCTGCATATACGTTTTCCTTTTGTCTTCTTGTGTGTCTTCAGACTCTGGCTTTGTGACCTTGTGAGAACATTCTCTCCAGCCTCTGCCCATCAGAGGATGCATGTACCAGCATCCACCTGGTGGGCAGTGCAATACACTGTGAATACAAATATATGCATTCTTTGTCCAACTGTGCCAGCTATTAATTCAGCTGAATACCTCTGCTGCTCCTCCACCTCCATATGGAAGCACTTGGGCTATCGCCCTACTCCCCCTGGCATGTCAGGCCCTACACCCAAATTTGTCATAACAAAACAGTGTCTACCACACACACACACACAGGAAATGGAGGAGAATTTCTCCCGCGCCCCCTGCAAATGATCAGCTGAGGGCCAATGTCTGAGGACTGATTTCATGATGTCCCTTCTTTAACAAATCCATTGGTTTTTTATTGCTTCTCCAGAATAGCACTTGCTTTCTTGCTTGTCTCATTGGCTTTCTGCCTCCCTAGGATTGTAGGTTGTTGGTTCTTTCTTTGGTTATCTTTGGGAGTGACTCCAGATCTTGTAAATATATTTCAAATCCCATTTGAAGACACTGCTTGGTTTCATGGGACTAATACTGCCAGAAATATTTACTGTCTGTTCCAGCTGAAACCTGATAAGATATTTAAAAGGATTTAATAACTTTATGGAAAAAGTTTTTAGCCAAATTGGAGTATGACAGACAAGCACTTGTAAGAACTGGGCTTACAACTTTCAGCAATTCTTACAAAAACTAACCCAAAACTTTCAACAATTCTTACAAAAACGAACCCAAATATTTTTCAAGTTCACATGATCTGGGAAAATATTTGGTATTAAAGCTGATTTAAGTTTGGTTTAATTTAAATAGACATATCTTAGAGATTATAAGCATTAGAATTAAAACATTTATTCTTTTTGGGTTTATTTAAAACCAAGTAAATTGATGTTATCTGTTATAAAATGTTATTTAAAAAAAAAAGGCTTGGGATTATGGCTGACGTTGATATCTAATGAAGTTTTTGAGGGTAACTTAGGCATGGTAGCTAAGAACAAGTAAACTGAATAGATACAGTCAACTTTTGTTTGTTTAGAATAATGTGGATTTATTTATTCATGTATTTGTTTATTTATTATTTATTTTGGCATCATTAATATACAATCACATGAACAACACTGTGGTTACTAGATTCCCCCCCATTATCAAGTCCCCACCACATATACCATAACAGTCACTGTCTATCAGCATAGTAAAATGCTATAGAGTCACTATTTGTCTTCTCTCTGCTATACTGCCTTCCATGTGCCCAGCCCCTCCATCCCCACATTATGTGTGCTAATCGTAATGCCCTTTATTCTCCTTCTCCCTCCTTTCCCACCCACACACCCCAGTACCTTTTTCCCTTTGGCAACTGTTAGTCCATTCTTGGGTTCTGTGAGTCTGCTGCTGTTTTGTTCCTTCAGTTTTTGTTTTGCAGTTATACTCCATAGATGAGTGAAATCATTTGGTACTTGTCTTTCTCCGCCTGGNTTGTCTGTTGTGTGGCATGCTCTATGTACCTCTACATGCAGGTCTGATAACATTTAACAAATGTTAAAAAGAAAACCACAAGCCCAACCTGGTATCACTTCTGCTAGGCCAAGTCACTAAATCAGGCTGAATACCTAACCTAATGCAGTTTCAACATCCCCCATAAATGCAGTCAGTCAGGGATTTTGTGGTCAGCATCTATAAAATAAGCAAGAATGTTTATCCCTTCCCTTAATTCCATTTGGCGTCAGGACGTATATTAACCTAGACACCCGCCCTGTTATGTAAATGAAAAGTATACCTTTGAAGTCATGACTTTCTTGCCTACCTCCTCAAAGATATAAAACCTTCATGTCTGTAGCCCCCTGGAATACTCCTACTCATTGAATAAATTGTGCCTCCTGGACTACGTTCACTTTACTCTGATAGACTCAAATAAAACTTGATTTGATAGACTCAAATAAAATCTGTCTTTATTTCAATGTGACTTTAGGCATTTTTTTCATCAACATAAAGGAAAAAGTTATGTGAAATACTTACCATATTTCCTGGTACATGGTAGGAATACAATAAACATCAACTATTAAACATAATCCTCTCACTCCATCCAGTTGCCTTAGTGTATACATTTCTGAACTGTTACTCTTTCTATACCACACCTGCCCCGAGCCATAGGAGCTAGTTGGGAAATCAGAATACTGAATATTACTCACTTTCTTAAAAATCCATATTTTCCTATGTTTCAGATTTAGTACTTTCCCATTCACTTTTGGCTAATAAATTACCACCCGAAGTGAAACAAACTCTGGACAGGGAGGAATTTATTTAATGAATAAGATGAACCTAATTCTGAATACAAACACTACTTATATTAGAAACTCAGTAAATAAAGCAAAAAAAACTGAACATATTCACACACAAAAATCCCACCTGTTTAAATGCAGATCTCAAGTCAAAAATCATCCTGTTTTGAATTTAGTAAACCTACCAGGTCCTACCAAACCCATCTTAAAGAAGATCCTTTGGAAACATCTGAACATGGAAGTTGTTTCCTATGTAAATTATTGTGAAGCCATGCACGCTCACTGGCTGTCACGGACAGCTGTATTCAAATTGGGATCTCTGTCTCCTAAAGGTATAGAAAGGTCTGGAGTCCTGGGCTTCAGCAGAACAGCACCACAATTTCTTTTAATTTTCTCTTTGATCAAAGGAAAATTTAGAAACCATTGGTTCTGGAAGATTCCTTTTCATAAATCACAAAGCTAACCACAGATGCTCTGTAACAGGGCACAACATCCGTGTACTGCACAAGTTGACACAGCAGGGCTGGGGAGAGCACCAAGGGGCAAGCTTGGTACACTAAACTCCACCCTGGCTGGGATCCATGCACCTGCTCACCAAGACTGCACTTTTGGCGTGCAGACCCAGACCTAACAGGTACTAACAGGAAGACAGCACACAACAGATTCAACCTGGTAACGTGGCATCTCTTTGTCCTGCACCTTTCCAAATCAGAAACTTCACTGAAATGCTACAACTACTCTTACCCTGCCAAATATCCACGCTCAAAAATATTGGGTGCAAAAAGATATTAAGATGGTAATGGTCATTATCTCTGATGGAATGGGAAGTTATCATTTTTATATTTTTCAAATATTCTGCAATGGGCATAACCTGACTTTAAAATAATAAAAATATAGTTTACTTTTAATTTTTTGCTTCCCATGAAGGAAAGAAAACAAACATTTGACATTCATAACATTAGCCATAAGCAATCACAAAATACCTATCTCCCTCTCTCACATAATAAAGCTGAAAGATAAATAGCTAGGAAACACTGGACAAATGACATCTAGATGGTCTGGATAAGGGCAATAAAATTTCTAGGGATTCTAAAATCTTTGGTTCCATAAGCAGAGAAACCCTTAGTGAGGTCTGAACAACTAACAGAGGAACTGAAACTATGCAAACTAAAGAAAACTTCATTACCTTGTGCTGCTCTGGGACTGGTGTGGTGCACTTGTGAGAGTAATCCAGGCCCATTTCCCCAAATGCCACAGCCTTGGGGTGCCGTAAGGCTTGCAGAAGATTTCTTTCTTGACTCTCACTGTAGTAACGTGCAAAATGAGGGTGACAGCCAAAAGCCCCCCAAACCAGATCCTCTTTCAAAAGCTCCTGCCATAGACAATCCGTCAGGGTCCGAGGATCACAGAAGTCAGAGATGCAGCCCTGAAATTCCTTAGGGAAGGAGCTGCTATAAATTTTTCTGAACTTGGTAAAGGTCCCTTTGAAAGACAACTTGGAATAGAGCATGTCCAAGTGACAATGGGTGTCAATGAAACCCTCCTCGAGGCTTGGCTCCCGATAGCTCCTTGACAGGGAACTGGATGTGTGTCCTCCACAAGGACGTGGAGGTGTCTCCTCCCGGAATGTTCTTTTCTCCTTCACCTCTTCTTCAGAGCTTCTGGAGAAACGAAATGAACGAGAATTCTGGGACCTGCCTTCCTCTGCCATCTCCTGGTCTCTGAAGGTGTTTGGGGAGCTCACCGCAGAACTGGAGGAGCAGTCACTCAGGTGGCCCCTGCTGCTCCTCCCCGCCTGCAATGTGTCGCTGCTGCTGCTGCCCAGCGAGGGGTAGCCAGAAGGCCTGGGAGTGCTGGTCCAGTAGCTGGCGTAGTCACACCAGGGACTACTGTACAAATGAGCTGGGTACATGACATAGTCAGTTGGGAAAGCGGAAGGCTCTGAAACTGCAGAGACTTTCAGTGAGACAGGCTCCTCCTGAGAGAATCTAACTGTGGAGACCTCATCCACATCGGACCAGTCACTTCCTGAAGAGGTGTGCTCTAGCACCACCTCCCTTTCTTTAGGCTGCAAAAAAGAAAAGAAACCATGGGTGAGCTTTCCTGAGTGAAGACAGCCTCTCATAGTCAGTCATCAGAAGAACATAAACTCTGGCTTGTTTTTCTGGTCATGATAAAGGCTTTACCTTAACTCACTTTGTAACTGGTTTCCTTATAATTTCCAGAAGATGAGCCAGGTTAGAGCTATGAACAGCCACATCAGGTTGGGGGGAAAAAAACCTACAACCACAGTCTCAAAATGTCATCCCTAAAGGAGACACTATACCTGCACGCCCTCCCTCTTCCGAATGATCCCTCTTGAGAAAAAGTGCCCTGGAGAATGCACTGTGTACTGGGGATTTGAGAGAAGAGCAGTGCCCAGCTTCTCATCTCTAACAAGTCTCCAATACATTCGAAATGCAAAACCACAGTCATGGCAGTTTGAAGATCTGCCTTCAAGTTCTTTTGACACTATTCTCCACTGACAGGTGGGGTTTCTGACCCCTCCCTTTAAACCTGGGCCAACCTGGTGACTCACCTGTAACCAAAAGAACACAGCACAAATGATACCATTTAATTTCCAAGGGGTCAGAAAGGTTTTGTAGCGTCCCCCAGATTCTCTCAGTTTACTCCTCATAGGGGGAGCTAACCACCCTGGGACCATATGCTGGAGTCACGTGTAGGTGGCAACATCAACTGCCAGTCAAGAGAGTGGGCATCTGGGGCACCCAGCCTCGCCATGCTTACAGATGCAACCAACCCAGTATCTGAGCAGAGACTCCCTCCTCCCCCAGCAAGACCTACCCAACCCAGATCTTTCTGAATTCCTCCCTCACATAACTGAGAGCAAACTGAAACAGTTATGCTAAGCAACTAGGCGGTAACAGTAACCAGAACCATACACTGCATTGTATTTTTAGCTTTGCTAGAACATAAGTCCCACAAGGTCAGGAAGTTTTTTCTTCACTGATGCATCCCAAAGACCTCGAAGACTGCCTAGCATATAGTACTCATAGACATTTGTTGAATTAATTTATAGAAAAAATAATAAAATGGTTCCTGAACTTAGCACACATCAGAATTAGGGGGCTTTTCAAAAACAGCTTTTGGAGAACTGTGGGAAGATGGCAGAACAGGAGGTACACACCCGAGGCAGCAATTACATCTAATCATCTAACATGATTACTCTGAGAACTGCCGGAAGATGAGCAGAGCAGATCTTCTACACGTAACAACAAAAGAGAAGACCATACTTAGGAAGGTAAAGAGTCAAAGCCACGCTTGATCAGGTTCCAGACCCTTTCCCCATTCCAACCACAAGCAGGAGAGAATGAGGAACAGAGCAGAGAGGAGACAAATGCCCAGAAGCCTGGCACTCCTGGCTCTGGGGATCTGCACCCAGAAGACAAGTGCCCATAGCGTTGGGTTTTGAAAATCAGTCAAGCTGAACACCAGGGAGAGCTGGAAGGCCATGGGAGGCCAAACTTCTGTCTGTGGAGACCAGAGTGCTGGGCTGATTGCTCTGAAACCCAACAGAGAAGCAGCAGTTTGAAAGGAGGTTTATTAACTCTGGGAAGTGCACCCAAGTGGCAGGGGTCTGAAGGAGTCCCCGTGGGGGTAAAAGGGCTGGCAGATGTCACGTTTTCAGCCACTCCTCAGCCTAGCTGACCACTTGCAGGAGCTAGCTCTGAAATTCTCCATCTAGGTGGCTGGCCCTGCCCTGAAGACCTATCCCCTGCCACGCCCAGCCCAGCAGTAGTCACATAGACCATTCACTGCTGGCAGCCACACCGAGTGCAAGACCCACCCACAGCCAACCAGCACTGGAGCTGCCCACCCACTAAGCTGCACCAGTGTTACACAGTAAGGCACAGCAATGGCAATTGGCCTTTGCTTGCAGCCAGGCCCACAGCCCAGCAGCAGCAGTCATGGCTCAGCCACAACAGAAGGATGTGCACAGCCCACACAGGGCAACCCTAGAGCACCTGGCTCTGGTGAGCAGCAATTCTCTACTTCCGGGCATCACAGGACACCAACTACATAAAACCACTACTTTCAAGACCAGGAGACATAACTGATCTACCTAATACATAGAAATGAACACCAGAGAACCAAACAAAATGAGGAGGCAGAGGAATATGTTCCAATCATAAGAACAAAACACCAGCAAAAGTGCTAAATGAAATGGAGATCTATGTGATGAAGAATTCAAAGTAATGGTTATTAAGTTGTTTATGACCTGGGGGAAATAACAGATAGACTCAGGGAGGACTTCAACAAAAACAAAGAAAATATAAAAAGAATCAGTCAGAAGGATACAATGACTGAAATGAAAAATGCAATAAAGAACCAAATAGCAGATTAGAAGATGCAGAAGAACAGATTAGCAATCTGGAAGACAGTGTAAAGTACTGAGCAACAGAAAAAGCATTTCTGAAAATGAGAAGATACTAAGAGCTACCTGAGACAACTTCAAACAAAACAAGATTTGCATTATAGAGGTCCAAGAATGAGAAGAGAAAGGTGCAGAAAGCCTACTTTTAAGAACTAGCTCAAAACTTCTCCAACCTGGGGAAGGAAACAGACAGCCAGGTCCTGAGGTACAGAGAGCCCTTGCCAAGAAGAACCCAAGGAGGTAGGTCTACACCAACACAAGTAGAAATTAAAATGGCTAAGATTAAAGACAGAGTATCTTAAAAACAGCAAGAGAAAGGCAGAGAGTTACCTACAAAGGAAACCCCATAAGGCTATCAGCAGATTTTTCAGCAGAAATTTTACAGGCCAATAGGGAGTGGCATGAAATATTCAAAGTGTTGGAAAGGGAAAAATCTACAACCAAAAATTATCTACCCAGCAAGGTCATCATTCAGAATTGAAGGAGACAAAAAGTCTTTAACAAATGTTAAAAGAATCCTTCACCATGGAACCAGCCTTACAAGATACATTCAGGGACTTCTTTAAATGGAAAATTAAAAACAATTTTTCATGAGGGAAAACAAACCTACAGTGAAAGTGGCAGACCAATGACTTACAAAGCAAGTATGGAGCTCAAAAGACAAAAGTAGTAAAATCAATTATACATTAGTCAAAGGATCTACAAAAAATATATATATGTAAATTATGACATCATATACATAAAATATACATATATATGTAAATTATGACATCATATACATAAAATGTGGAGAGGGGAATAATAGTGCTGTTAGCATGTGTTGAAACTTAAGTGATCATCAACCTAATGCAGACTGTCATATACCTAGGAGACTATATATGAACCTTATGGTAACCACAAACCTAAAGCCTATAACAGATACACAAAAAAAGGAAAGAGAAAGGAATCCAACCATAACACTAAAGAAAACCATCAAATCACAAGGGAAGAGAACAAGAGAAGAAAGAAATGGAGAACTACAAAAACATACAGAAAGGAGTTAACAAACTGGCAGCAGTCCATACCTTTCAATAATTACTTTCAATGTAAGGGACTAAATGTTCCAATCAAAAGACACAGGTGGCTGATTGGATAAAGATGCAAGACTATGTATGTGTGGCCTACAGGAGACTCAATTCAGACCTAAAGATACCTATAGACAGAAAGTGAAAGGATAGGAAAGGATACTCCAAGTAGAGGCAAAAAAAAAAGAGGACAGGAGTAGCAGTACTTACATCAGACAAAACAGACTTCAAAATAAATAGATTTGACGAAGGGCACTACACAATACTAAAGGGATCAGGCCAATAAGAGGATATAACAACTGTAAATATCTATGCACCCAACAACACAGGAACACCTAAATATATAAAGAAAATAATAACAGACCTAAAGAGAAAAACTGACTCCCACATTCTGTGAGAAGGAATCATATAACCACCCTTGTCCTTTGTTTTGGGGCCAACTGATTTTGTTTCCTTCAGTGCCCTGTTGTTTTGGGTGTTATTGTACTTTTGTTTTACTGTTAATAAGGCCTGGTCTCAATACTCCCTGAGGTGTGGGTAACAGTGGCCAGTAATGTATCCCTGAATTTTGGTACTCTTTTCCAGCTGGAATTATTTTGTAAAGAGAGGAAAATGTGATGGAATACCTTATGCTCAGTCCTGTGGAAAAGATGTCAGATCCTGCTTTAGAAGGAAGGCCTTTGCCTTCTTGTAGTTTTTGAGTGTGTTGTGTCTTTTGTGTCATTTGTAAATATGCATATGAGATGAGGCCTGTTGCTACAGAACATCTTGTAAGTCAGAGCCACAAAGCTGGCAGGTATAGGTCAAGCAGTTAAAGACTGTTAGAGCACTCACCATCTCAAGATGACTCCAATAATAGGATAAGTAGGTCACGGAACAGGTCAGAATGACACTAGGTCACCCACCAACCGCAAGAAAATTTCTGTGCAATTAGGCACGTTGTTAACACCACAGTCCCCAAGCCTGTGGCAACTCCGTCCTAGGTATTAGTTTGGCTTCCAAGAAAACCCAAGGCTTAGCTAAAGCTGTTAATCTGCATATACGTTTTCCTTTTGTCTTCTTGTGTGTCTTCAGACTCTGGCTTTGTGACCTTGTGAGAACATTCTCTCCAGCCTCTGCCCATCAGAGGATGCATGTACCAGCATCCACCTGGTGGGCAGTGCAATACACTGTGAATACAAATATATGCATTCTTTGTCCAACTGTGCCAGCTATTAATTCAGCTGAATACCTCTGCTGCTCCTCCACCTCCATATGGAAGCACTTGGGCTATCGCCCTACTCCCCCTGGCATGTCAGGCCCTACACCCAAATTTGTCATAACAAAACAGTGTCTACCACACACACACACACAGGAAATGGAGGAGAATTTCTCCCGCGCCCCCTGCAAATGATCAGCTGAGGGCCAATGTCTGAGGACTGATTTCATGATGTCCCTTCTTTAACAAATCCATTGGTTTTTTATTGCTTCTCCAGAATAGCACTTGCTTTCTTGCTTGTCTCATTGGCTTTCTGCCTCCCTAGGATTGTAGGTTGTTGGTTCTTTCTTTGGTTATCTTTGGGAGTGACT